CCTGCTGGGCTCCGCGATCCTTCCGCCTCAGCCTTCCAAGTAGCCAGAATTACAGGCGCGCGCTACCACGCCCAGCTGATTTTTATTATTTTTTGAGGTGGAGTCTCACTCTGTCACCCAGACTGGAGTGCAGTGGCACGCCCACAGCCACCACAGCCTCAACCTGCTGGGCTCTGGCCATCCTCCCGCCTCAGCCTTCCAAGTAGCCAGAACTACAGGCGAGCACTACCACGTCCAGCTAATTTTTTTATTTATTGTAGAGATGAGGTCTCACCAAGTTGCCCGGCTGGGTCTTGAACATGCAGGCTCAGGCAATCCATTCGCCTCGGCCTCTCAAAGTGCTGGGATTACAGGCTGAGCCACCGAGCCCGGCCTCCCTGTGACATTTCTATGATTTATGGATGTTTGATTTCTTCCACATTTTCCAATCTGTGCCTGCAGTTTTAGGTCGTATTATCTTGTAATTATTTGAATCTGTTCTCTTTTTTGTTTGTGACTTCGTTCTTGTTCCTAATATAGAGTGAATGTACTTTCAGTTGTCTTTATAATTTTTAATTGGATAAAATTGTCTGAAGGTTTAAAAGATCAAATTAAGTTTTAACAAAGCTAGAAAATTATGAAAAAGAAGATTGTAATCAAAACAGCATGAAGTTGGTCTAGGACCATCAGTGGAGCAGAATAATAAGCATATAAACAGATTCTAGTAAATATGAGAAGTGTGTATATGAAAAAGGTGGCATTTTAATTCAGTGAAAAATGGATGGTTTTTGTAAATGGTGTCAAGAAAGTGGCTCTCCATCCTGAAGAAAACGCAATTGAACACCTACCTCATACCATGTTTTTAAAAAACTCTAAGTGCACTGATGACATATAAGAAAAACAAAAATATTTAATTAGAGGAAATTCAGAACATATAAGCCAGAGTTTGGAGGCAATTGTTAACAAAAGGGCTGGCCAGAAACTAAGAGACAGCAAAAAGACATATACAAATTCATAAACATTGAAAGTATTATATGGCAAAAGAAGCTATTCATGAAGTCAGTAGATAAACAATAGGTAAGATGAATGATTTGAAAAGCCTAAGATAGATAAATGATAAAATACTTATTATAGTATGAAACCTCTGTGAGGGCTGGGATCTTTGTTTTATTCATTGTTGAATTCATATTGTTAAAGCAGTGCCTGACACAGCATGTGTGCTTAATAAATATTTATCCGCTGGGTACCGTAGCTCATGCCTGAAATCCCAGCACTTTGGGAGGCTGAGTGGGAGGATTGCTTGAGGCCAGCCTGGTCACATAGTGATACCCTATCTCTTAAAAAAACCCAAATTATCAGCTGGGCGTGGTGGTTCAAGCCTGTAATGCCAGCACTTTGGGAGGCTGAGTTAAGGGAGTTGCTTGAGTCTATGGGTTCAAGAACAGCCCAGGCAACTTGGCAAGACCTCATCTCTACAATAAGTCAAAAAATTATCTGGACATGGTAACACGTGCCTGTAGTTCTGTCTACTTGGAAGGTTGAGGTGGAAAGATCACCTGAGCCCAGCAGGCCGACACTGGGGTGGTGCCACTGCACTCCAGCCTGGGTGACAGAATGAGACTACAACTCAAAAAAAAAATTACAATATGAAATATTACTATATGTTTTAACTTCTATATAGGCATGTGTTTATATATTACATGGAGAGAGGTTGGAAGGGGTTAACACCGAGTTGTGTACTTTGGTTATTGCTTGGGAAAGGTAAAGACAGAAAACAGAGGCAGAAGGCCAAAAAAAAAAAAAGCAAATTTTAAAAACTGTGTGGTGTGTTAATGCAAAGCAGTGCCCCCAAAATATATTTCCTAAAATGTTTATATTGCTTATCTTAGGTGACAGGACTTCATGTGACTTTTACCTTCTCTCTTGTAATTTTGAAATTCTTGGAAAGAAAATGTTAAATTCTTTTAGAAAACAATATTTTAGTATGTACAAAGCTCATAAAAATGGACAAGAAGTATTGTGTAGCATACAATCCACTCAGCAGAAAAATGGATAAAAATTATAAATAGGAAGTTAATGCAGTGCAAATCTGGGTAGTGAAATAAATGCATGCAAAAGATGAAAATTACTCAGTAACTGGAAAATATCAAGATTAAGATAATAAAATATGACATTGTATCAATAAGATTGGTAAAATAAAAGAAGTGGTCATATCAATCGTTGACAAGAAAGCACAGTAAATTATGTCTTCATACATTCCAGGTAGTAAAGTATTTATTTATAATTATTGCTATTTTTACTTGTCCTTCCCTACTCTGTTTCTAGGATGAAGGTTCTGTGAGGGCTGAGATCTTTGTTTTATTCATTGTTGCATCCAAAATTGCTGGAGCAGTGCTTGGCACAGAGTTAGTGCTTAATAAATATGTATCGAACAAATGAAATAGGAAATGTTACTGAAAGTGATCTGTTAGACTTTTTTAGAATGTAATCTTTTACATTCTGTTCAAATTTTTAAAAACACTACCTTTTTTATTTTTAGTCCTACTCTGGACTTGCTCAGATTAATAAAACATTATTGTATAGAGGTCTGAAAATATTTGTTGCAGCAATTGTTGTAGCAACAGTGGCTACAAAACAAACCCAAACAACGATGCAACTGCTAACCAGT